GGAGGGGGCTCCTACAAAGCTTTCACTCTTATATTCAGACAACCATAAATTCACAATGTTGAACTAATCTCCGTGGTCAAGATAGGGAACAGCAAGCAGAAATTTCTTTCATCCTACTACAACTTGACAACACACAACAAAACACTCAATGACCTGGTGTAGAAACTTCAAACTTCACACACTCTCTGTTTCTTTCCTTAAGTGTAGATCTATTCATATACACACACATATATGTGAAGTGGGCTGACAAAATCAGTTACTTCTCGGATTCAAGCCTTAAGGAAACAGATACATCATGCTTTTTGGTGAAGCTTTTACATTTTATAAGTATGAAATAATAAAAGGCATGTTATAGTGAAAGAATATCGCATCAATAGAAATTCTATACATTTGACCCTAGTGTCGTTTTTTTGCCAATATCTCTATTTGTGGATTGCGAGAAGTAACTCATTTTGTCAGCACACCTCACATATCATCTCTGTCTACAGTTCTCGAGTCCGGTTACAAACCTCTCTCACTCTGGAAGACAGCAGTCTTCTTCTTCTTCTTCTCGATCACCACATCACACTTGAAGACCAGTATCTGTCATATAATACTGGGCTGTCCTACTCAGTTAAAATCTTCTTGAATACAACCCTTTAAGATAAGATTTTGTTGGCTTGATTTGATAAGAAAAGAGCACAGGCCAATATTGTTTCATAAACTAGTTAAACCAAAGGGTTTAAAAAAGCATACACAATTCATAGCAATAAACACAAATCATTTATAACAGTGATGGTAATATATATATATATAAAACAAAAACAACAAACCTCTTAATCTTATAAAAAGCCCGCAAATTTGCTATAAATTAATTTGTTTAAAAGACATAGCAGAATATTCATTTTGATTGAATTGCACTATTGCCTTGACCCAAGCTTTTTCCAGTTTTAGTGGTTACTAATGAATATTTATGATATAAGAAAATGGGCAAGGGTTTCGCATATTGGACTGTTTTAAGGCCATGCACAGTACAGATCAATCATTACGATATAAAAAAAAACATTTAACAAAAAGAACAAACACACACACAACCCCCCCTCCCCCCTCCCCCAAAAAAACGTTTGGGGAAAAAATATTCTCAAGTCTTCATACTGACCATTTGTATCTCTTTTTAACATTGCTTAAAAAATATGGAGTAATTTTGTACCTTTAATTTCAAGCTTGTAGGTTCCTATGTTTAACAGTCTTTTCACAAAATCTTTATTAAAAAAAAAAGAGAGAGAGAGGAAGGGGAGATGTGTGTTTTCCCATGTAAACAGCTACGCTAAATCTCAGTTGTCAAATAAAAGTGACCCAAAATGTGGTCCCACTGAGTAGGCTAAATATGTCTTGTACTTAGGTAGCAAAGAGTTATGGTAATTAAGCTTATAAATAAGCAGGGAAATTGAAATAAACTTTCGAAAGAAACTGAAATAAAATAAATCTTTTGCGCTGTTCTTACAGTTACAGCACTGACAACAAAACAATCATGAATGTCAAATGCCCATTTTGATTTATGAAAAAGTACCGATCGACAGTTCATTCTTTTCACGCTCAGAATTTCTAATCTTGAAACAATCAAAAATCTCAAAAGATAGTTTTTGATTTTCTGAAAAAGTACCTATCTACAGTTCATTCTTTTCACGCTCAGAATTTCTAATCTTGAAACAATCAAGAATCTCAAATGATAGTTTTTGATTTATGAAAAAAGTACCGATCTACAGTTCATTCTTTTCATTACGCTCAGAATTTCAAAATCTTAAAACAATCAAGAATCTCAAAAGATAGTTTTTGATTTATGAAAAAGTACCTATCTACAGTTCATTCTTCTCACGTTCAGAATTTCTAATCTTGAAACAACCATGAATCACAAGTGATAGTTTTTGATTTATGAAAAAGTACCTATCTACAGTTCATTCTTTTCATGCTCAGAATTTCTAATATTGAAACATTCGAGAATCTCAAATGATAGTTTTTGATTTATGAAAAAGCACCAATCTACAGTTCTTTTTCTTCATGCTCAGAATTTCTAAATCTTGAAACACTCATGAATCTCATAAGATAAGTTTTTAATTTATGAAAAAGCCCCGATGTACAGGTTTTTTTTTTTCCCCCCACGCTCAGAATTTCTAATCTTGAAGAACAATTGCTGCTGTTGAGGTGCTAGTTCACAACAAGCTAAACAATAACAACCAGAATTTGTTTGTCTGGGAACCCGCTAGCACAGCAGTAAAATTGACATGACATTGAAAAGAAGCACAAGGCCCCATGCCACACCAGCTCTCCCCCCCCCCCAGTCGCCGGACCAGGGTCTCACAGCGGGGTCACATGCTTGTCTTCCGTGTCATCCAGGAACAGCACACTGAACACGTCGTCCACAAAGAAGGGATGGTACTTGCACGCTCGGGCGCAGTCGGGGGAAAAGTTCACCTCGCAGATCATTGGCTGCATATATTTTTCTCCTGATGCAACAAAAAAAAAAAGAAAAAAAAGAAGAGTTTCACTGCACTTGCAACACAATGAGGTCATATGAAGATTAAAGGAGTTACAATTTTTCTCCTGATGCTACAAAAAAAAAAAAAAAAAAAGCAAAAAGCAACAAAAAAAAAGATCAGATCAGAAGCATGATTGATTAGCACACTTTGTTGTTATTACTAAACACAAAAGCACCAGATGATAGAATTGGGCATGGTCAAAATAAGAAGACAAGAAGCATGATTAGCATCATAGAAATGCATTAGCTCTGTTGACACTTCGAGTGTACGTAAATCTACAGAAACAGGATGACCCAGAAAAAAAAGTGTATTGGTGTACTTCTACTACCAGGTATTGGCTATTCAAGTTTTCAAGTTTAAAAATCCAGATCGCAATCAAACCTTTTCTGGTAAATTCAGGATCTTAAAGTAGAGTTTTACTCCACATAAAAATACATTGTTCAAGGGACCTTTTTGCTGAAGATTGGAGAGCACACAGACTTTTTCTCCGTTGATGATGTTTGTCTATCATATCCCCCCCCCCCCCACCACCAAAGGACTGTTATTGAGTACATGTACTTCTTTTTCTTACTCAAAGGGATAGAAATTGCTGGCCAGGTAGTGAAAAAATCCCACGAACTACAGGACTTAAGACAGACCGAGACAACACCAACAGGGATGCTACTGTTGACCTCAGTACATTCAAGCGAAGTCTAAAGGCCATTCTTTTCAAGCCTAAAGTACGTAACAGTTTTAATTTCAGTACGAGTTTTATGGCACTCGAAATACAATTAGGACATATAAGAGCCGGAGATTAGAGAGGTGTTACTATAAGAGAGTGACATACAAAGAAAAGGAGGAGGAGAGATAAGGATGATAGACGTTAGATAGGGAAGAAGGAGCAAACCACATCAGAGCACCCGCCAACCACCCGCACCAGTTTTAGTTTCAGTACGAGTTTTACAGCACTTGCAACAAAATTAGGTCATACAAGTTCTGAAGATTAGAGGTGCTACTATTAGAGAGACAAACAAAAAAAAGGAGGAGAGATTTAAAGGACGAGAGACGTTTGATAGGAAACAAGGAGCAAACCACACCAGAGCACCCACCAACCACCCACAAGTACCCACCGGTCGGTTTCGTGGCCCAGGACAGCATGAGATCCACGGCGTACATCGCTCGCGACTGGGGCGAGGCGCAGATGCCCCGGGGAGGGGGGACTGAGGTGGCGGCCACAAACAATTCCTTGATCATGTTGAAGATGTCGTTCTGTAAAAACAAAAAAAACTCTGCCTGTTATCACTGTGTAGGACAGGATTTTTCAAGAGAATATGTCAAGGTGACAAAGAAAAAACAAACTGGTATCATGTTCGTCACTTTCCCACCTTCTTCCCAATACAGTCAGCGTACGTCAGAAAAGTCGTCAATACACTGCTAGTCTTTTTAGTAAGGTTTTATGGCGCTCACAACGGCATAAGTCATATGAGCACCAAGGGGTGGATGTCAACAGAGAAGCCCAAACAGAGAATCAGGCTTACTCTGCTCACCCCTCTAGCCTCAACAGCACAAAGTCTGCTTCGACTATCAAGGCACCCCGGAAATAGTAGTTCAGAAGAGGGTGAAAAACATACAAAAGAGGTAGAGGAAAAATGACGACAGTAAGGATGAGGAAAGAAAAAGCAGCAGTTCCCCCTATGTTGTTCCGGCACAGTATGAGCATGACATTGATAAATCAGCCCATTTACAATACTACTATGCATAAGAACATGTTAATATCCCCTTTGGGATTGGCCTAAAGACACTTCAGTCAGTAGCACTGTCCAGGTGGCGGGTCAGCTATCCTCTGTATTTCTACCACACTGCAGAACTTACTTCAACATCGGTCCAAACAAAGCCTGGATTCTGAGACTCAAACTCTGGGATGAAGTCATCGTAGTGAACCTGAAAAACAGAAGAAAAAAAAGTCACTTTTAACATCATTCAAGAAGCGTGAGTCATATCAATACAATATTGACATTAGACTTAAAGTGCTACTACCATAGAGATCCTAAAGTCAGCGGATACAAATATGTGATAGTCACATGACCGTTTTGAAGGCATTAAAAAATGTATATTCACTGGAGTTGGTGCAACTCTGGGTAAAAAATATCAAGTATTTCCGATAATTTAAAAAAAAAAAAAATCTTTGAACTGCAGTCTTCTTTAACTCAAGAAATAAGCACAATGGAACTCAGACTTTCCGGCTTACATCACGAAAGACAAGTCACTCAGTTCAGTTTACCCGGATGTGAAAAATCTGAGACTCCCCTTACCCATTGACTGTGTCTGCACGTACTAGGAATTGAAGCAAGTACCTCTGCATAAGAGGCCAACACTTTGCTTCTAGACTAATTTAGTAGACCCCATGCCACACCATCCCTCATCCCACCGTACCTGTTTCAGCTTTTCATCAGCACCTTCCACGTAGTTCATAACTGTGAAGTGTTTTTGGTAGTCATCAAGATGGTCCAGTGAATATGGTCTAAAAAAGAAACAAGAAGACATGAATATACCATGTACAAGACCAAGAACTCAAGGCTCTGCCAAATTATGATCATCAGAGGTAACAGGTATACAAATACCTCACTAGAATCCTTTTTTAAGTAGATATGCTATGATGAGCCAGCCAAATACACAAGGAAATTTGCAGGTTGTTTAACCTTATTCATCACATGTAGTGAGAGAACAAGGAAGGAGAAAAAGCTAACGTATCTACAGACGTCTCTAGCACTAACTGAACCAAGTGCAAAGAAACTCTCTTGGGAGCATCCAAATGATTTTTGTTAGTTCTGCAATGGATTTAAACCTAAATCACCCAAACAGCAGTTAAGTGTTATCCTTTTAGAGACAATGGCAGAAATGCCAAGAGCTTTCACCAAGTGCCCGTAATATTTAGGTATTTAGGTGGATTGAAGAAAACAGATCTGCCAGCTCTCACCGAACACAAGGCTTTTAGTTTTAGTAAGAGTTTTACGACAATTGCATGCTAGAGACATATAATTTCAAAGACAGACAAAAGAAAATTAGGGAACTTACTTATTGGCAAACCTCAGCCAGAAGACTTTGTAGGCAAACAGTTTCAGAGGCTCAGCCGATGACAGCAACACGATATAGCGGATGTCAAACTTGACTTTCCCTCCTACATCTTCACGGAAGTAAAGAACAGGGTCTTCTATGTACTTGCACGCAACCTGACAAGGGCAAAAATACACAGGAATGAGACGGATCTAACAAAAATAATCTTCCTCAAGGTGACTGCGATTCTGAATCAGCAGAAAATTGTGCAATACATTTATGATTTAAGACAGACTCAATAAGCCTGACATTCAAAACTGTTCATGAGACTTCCTCTCACCATGTCTGGTACAGTTAAAAACAAAGTTCACCTCCTTTACGAATGTCCACAATATGAAAGTGAAAACAAACAAATTCCACTGCTGATCGTTTAGCGCATCCCAGAGCCAGACAAGCATAAAAAATTATCCCACAGCAAGAGCATGAGAGAATTAAATCAGCTTGTGAAGTATCAAAACCATCTTTAATTTAAAAGACACAAATGGAACTACTGATGATAATGTGTGTGACAAGATTGTGTTATGCTCTGATGATTTGTAGTTGAATTATGGCACTGACTGCATCAAAATACGGGCCTGTGGCCTGAAATTCCATCCTAAAAGTACCATTTCTCAAACAATGTCTCTCACCTTCGGCCCAGCATCAGGCAAACGCACAATCTGGTCCAGGCTTTTGGTGATATACATGTCGAGACCACGGGCCAAGTTCCACGGTTTACAAATCCAGTGGTTGTCTTCTCCTCTGTAGTGACGATGAAAGGTAGACTTTTATTGGCACAACATTGATTACAGGAAGGAGGGTGTAAAGACACAAGATAGAACTTTCCATACCTCTGTAATATCAAGCATTGATAACAAAAAGGAGAATCTAAGAACAGAAGGTAGCATTCTACACATGCTTTTGCTTTAGTAAGGTTTTACGGTGCTCGCAACTGCATAAGGTCATATGAGCGCCAAGGGGTGGATGTCAACCGAGAAGTCCAAATGGGGAATCAGGATTACTCTGCTCACCTCTCTAGCCTTAACAGCACAAAGTCTGGTTCGACTATCAAGGCACCCCGGAAATAGCAGTTCACAAGAGAGTTCCAAACATACAAATGAAGTAGAGGAAAAATGACGAAAGTAAGGATGAGGAAAGAAAAAGCAGCAGTTCCCCCTATGTTTTTCCGGCACAGTATGAACATGACATTGGTTAGGCTACCGGACTTGTAATCGTGAGGTTGCGGGTTTGAGCCGCGGGCCCGAAGTTGTGTCCTTGGGAAAGGCACTTTACACGAATTTTCCTCACTTCACCCAGGTGGGAATGGGTACCTGGCCATAGACAGCGAAAGATCTTGTCAGTATGTTAGTGTTTTAGCGCCTATATACGGCTGCTTGCACTGTATGCTTCCCAGGAAGTTGAGGTTGTTTCAGAATGCTCTCAGGTCTGCTGGGGTAATAGTATAAATTGTTAAGTGCATAGAGCTTGCTGTTGAACGGGGATTTGCACTGTCTATGGCCGGGAGCCCATTCCCACCTGGGTGAAGTGAGGAAAACTTGTGTAAAGTGCCTTTCCCAAGGACACAACATCGGGCCCGCGGCTTGAACCCACGAACTCGCAACCTCACGATTACAAGTCCGGTAGCCTAACCACAGAATCACAAACGCAGTGGGGCAGCAAGAAGATCTACTGACCACAGCAAAGAGATGAAAATTAAAATGCTATGGGCATGTCACAAGATCCACAGGACTTGCCAAAACAATCCTACAAGGAACAGTACAAGGAAACAGAAAGATAGGAAGGCAGAGAAGGAGACGGGAGGACAATATTACAGAGTGGACAGGGAAGACGATGGGTGACAATCTGAGGAAAGCAGAGGACAAAGAGAAATGGCGAGAGCTGGTTTTCAGATGCAGTGGTGCCCCCACCACGGGATAGAAGAAGAAAAAGAAGCCTAACCACTAGGCCAGCGACGCCAAAAGTTATTTTTGACAAAAATACAAAACCAAACACGTACTTCTCCTCCCTGTGCTGGAAGTAAGAGACAAACTTGGGAAGCTCCGTCTGCAGGTCGTATGTGATGGGCAGCCATTTTGGGTTCGCTTCCATGGGGTCGCTGGGGCCGGGGGTGGCCGCCCGGCGGGCTGTTAACGCCAGCATGTCCTTCACAGTGACCACCATCTCGTTGGGAAACTGATTGATGAGAGCGGCCGGCCGCGTCTCGCTGAACTCCCTGGGTTTAGAATAACAAAATAAAACAGTAAATTACAGGGGAGAGCAAACACAATTAACTATCACTATGAAGTCAGCACAACCTATACATATGACAATGGCAATCTTTATTCATCAGAAAAGGAGAAATTTCTCTTGGTCGTTTACATGTTAGTGGATATTATGAAGGTTAGGTGCACTCATGCACCATGCATACACACAACAAGACAGGACATTCGTAAATACATGCTTTATGAGTAGAAACAACTCACTCCGTAAAACATATTCTCTCTCTCTCTCTTTCATTTGTAGCACTGTGTGTTTAGTAGTCTTACTGCAGTTGGTACGAACGAATTTCTATATGTCTGTTCTTGCTTTTTGGAAATGTATCCTTTACTGTGGGTCGATAGTTGGTCACTTAGCATTATTTCCGCTTTTTAGAATGTTCGTCTCATGCAGATATTCAAAGTTATTTAGGTCTCTACCAATTGTGCTTGATGTCTTTCTGATCAACTTGTTCATTTTTATGATGAGTTGTCCTCCCAAGTTGCTACCATAACAAGAAATACCAAAATTTATCAAAGTTTCTATTGTGGTGGTGTAAAATATCTGAAGAATGGATGGATTCAGATTTAAGGACCCGTGTTTCCTCAGAAAGTACAGCCTCTGAATTACCTTTTCAACAATGTTGTACACGTGTTTTTGCCATGTAAATTTGTTGTTGATTGTAAGACCAAGATATTTGTATGAATCCGTGATTTCAATTATTTCTTGTTCAATTATGAGTTGTGGGATTGTTGGCTTTTCTCTTCAAAAACCAAAAATCATTTCCTTTGTTTTTTAGAGATTCAGTTTTAGAAAATTTGAATTGCACCATTTAAAAAACATACAATTGTATATAAACTTCAGGGAATGAATGTCTGTCTTTGAGGTCACTCACTCAGAGTCATGAAAGTGTCTGTCTTTGAGGCCACTCACTCAAAGTCATGAAAGTGTCTGTGTTCGAGGTCACTCACTCAGAGTCATGAAAGTGTCTGTCTTTGAGGTCACTCACTCAAAGTCATGAAAGTGTCTGTGTTCGAGGTCACTCACTCAGAGTCATGAAAGTGTCTGTGTTTGAGGTCACTCACTCAGAGTCATGAAAGTGTCTGTCTTTGAGGTCACTCACTCAAAGTCATGAAAGTGTCTGTGTTCGAGGTCACTCACTCAGAGTCATGAAAGTGTCTGTGTTTGAGGTCACTCACTCAGAGTCATGAAAGTGTCTGTCTTTGAGGCCACTCACTCAGAGTCATGAAAGTGTCTGTGTTTGAGGTCACTCACTCAAAGTCATGAAAGTGTCTGGAGAACCACAGAACATCGGCTTCATCCGCACTGTCCACCACCTCAAACCGCCGGTCATTCAGGTTCTCGGCAAAGCCTGGGTACTCGAGGAACACCTTGAGGTTCCTGTCTCGTGGCAGACCTGGGAACTCGTACGACGGGGTAGGGAGTGTTTCCTTCAACCTGAAGCTCTGAATAACAAAAAGATTTGCAACTGGCTATAGAAAGCAAAGTAAAACCATTTCACTGAAAGCATTGAAAGTATTTCTTAACCTGAAGAGACTCAAATTCTGAATATGTTTAATGAAAATCAATGATACATAACTTGCATCTAAAACACATTTAAGTTGCTGCTATAAATAGGTATAAAAGTTTTTTTTTAAAATATTTGAAAAGACATCACATACCTACCGGTCTTATTTAATAATGTGTTATCAATATGACCCCAAATATACACCTCTTTCGTGCTCAGGTATGTTTTGCTCCTTCTTTCCTATCAAACATCTATCATCCTTATCTCTTCTTCTTTTTTGTGTTCGCTATTCTCTTGTAACACCTCAAATCTTCGACACTTAAAAGTATCTTAATTGAGTTACAAGTGCTGTAAAACTCTTATTGAAACTTTAAAAAATTAAACACTAAATCCATCAAAATTTTTCCATCTTAACCATCTTGTTACAAGTATTCATAGGACCTTACAGCATGCATAAGAATAATGCTTATATTACTGTTACTTTATATTATGCAGGTGACTGTAACCCAGCGTGTGTGTGTGCATGTTTATGTGTGTGTGTGCGTGTGTATGTGTGTGTTGGCATTTGTATGTGTGTGTGTGCATGTGTGTATGTGGTGAAACACCAAACCAATGTGCTAGGATCTGGACAATAAAGATGTAACTAATCTTATCTTATCTATTCATTTCTTTCCTCACCTGGAAGTGTTCAAGACTGGGCTCTTCATTCTTAAAACTGACGTGTTTCAAATCACAAGGCACCCACGGCACCAGCTTGGCACTTCGCACAGCAGAATCAGCCTGGTTTTCTACATAATTTCGAGTGACTTCATCTGAAAGAGACATTTAGTATATATAATAATAACACAGGGAACTCTAATCTCGATCCAAACACATTGAGTCTATCTTTAGTAAAATAGGGTGCACATGAAATGTGAGGCGAGCTGACAAAATGAGTTACTTCTTGCAATCCATAAATGGAGATATTAGCAAAAATTTTACACTAAGGTCAAATTTGTAGATTTCCTGTCGATGTAATATTCTTTAAGTATAACATGCCTTTCAATTATTTCATACTTATAAATTGCAAAAACTTCACCCATAAGTGTGATGTAACTTCTTCCATGAGGCTCAAAAACGAAAAGTAACTCATTTTGTCAGCACGCTTCCCAAATCTTTCTTCCACTTGAAACACATGTAACATACAACCTGTACAGATAGAGCACCTACAGAAAAGTGTTTTTTTTATAAAAGTTAACTTCTTGCAAAAAAACAATTTGAGCAAAGCATGTATTACCATCACCAAATTGCGGTGTAGTAATAGTAGTTGTAGTAGTAGTTGTAGTATTAGTAGTAGTAGTAGTAGTGGTGGTGGTAGTGGTAGTAGCAGTAGCAGTAGTAGTAGTTGTGGTAGTAGTTGAGGTGGTAGTATAAGTATTAGTAGTAGTAGTAGTAGTAGTAGTAGTAGTAGTAATAGTAGTAGCAGTAGTAGTAGTAGTAGTAGTAGTAGTAGTAGTAGTAGCGGTAGTGGTGGTGGTTTCAGTCAATCCTATAGCTCTATACCTCATGCCCTACTGCTGCAATAGACTGTGCTTAGTGTGGGTCTTGCATAAGATGATGAAAGAAAAATGTACCCAGACAAGCATATTTCCTATTCCCAAGCAATACTGCCATTGCCCCCCCCCCCCCCAGTGTTATGCCCCCCCCCCCCCCCCCCCCCCCCCCCAGTGCTACTGACTCAAGTCGTCTTTAGGCCATTCCCAAAGGGGGGATATCAAAAGGTTCGTATGCACAGTAGAATTGTAAATGGGCTAATTTATCAATGTCATGCTCAGACTGTGCTGGAACAACATAGGGGGAACTGCTGCTTTTTCTTTCCTCATCCTTACTATCGTCATTTTTCCTCTACTTCTTTTGTATGCTTGTCACTCTCTTGTGAACTGCTATTTCCAGGGTGTCTTGATAGTCGAAGCAGACTTTGTGTTATTGAGGCTAGAGAGGTGACCAGAGTAAGCCTGATTCCCCGTTTGGACTTCTCAGTTGACATCCACCCCTTAGCGTTCATATGACCTTATGTAATTGCGAGTGCCGTAAAACCTTACTAAAACTTAAAAAAACAAACAAGCAATACTACCATTAGCATCTTCAGAAAAAAAGAGAAAAAAAAAGAACTCCAGATAAGAAAGAGAGAGGAAACAGAAATTTGAAATACCTCCTTCTTCTAGTGAAGTTGTAGGCCACATCAAGGAAAACGCCAGGTTTAGCTCAGCGTAGTAAAACGGCACAATCCGAACACTGGGGTCATCTGAGTGCTGAATGCGGCTCCCAAATTCATCCATGACATACCAAAGTGGCATTGCTTCATCTGAACCCTGGGTCATATTATAGCAAGAGTCACTTCAGAACTTTCTATGGCATAAGACAAGTACATATTTGGATAATCTGATAAACATTTTAAAAAAATTTTTAAACATCAAGAGTCACTTACGAACTTTCTATGGCATAAGTAAATATTTGGACAATCTGATAACCACTAAAAAAAAGAAAAACAAAAAAGTCCAAATGAGGAAGAAATTCAAGAAAAAAGATACATGGCTTATACTTTCATTTAACAGTTGATTGCCGCAATTAGATATTAGAAAATGTAACTTTTCATTCAGGTTCCAAGGACTCTCAGCTATGGAAGTCACCAAACTTAGGTGGTAATTTTCTCCCTAATTTTACCTCCAAAACCAGGTGAACCCCACCCCCTTCAATCCCAAATATCTTGACTTCTATTCAAGCTAGGTGACCCCAACCTCCTTCAATCAAAAAGATTTTGACTTCTATTCACGATAGATGAGTATTTTTTTTTTTTCATCAAAAGCAAGATATATGAACAATCTTTAAGATGATACCATTAACGCCAAATGCCCAAAACTGACGAGCGCCTGATTTTCACAGCATTGCTTCACATTTATTTTTTACTCAAATAATGAGCCCAGCAAGTGCTTTACTTTCACAATGGGCATATTGAGTCTAGCAGGGGAATGAACTCTCCAAACAAAACCAAGAAACAGAACTTACCATAGCCAGATGGCCAAATTTATAAGTCTGACAAAACCTGAAAAACAAAAACAAAAACAAAACAAAACAGGAGCACGAGTTAAAATAAACTGCATTCCTCTAGCACTGGAAGCAGAACATAATCTCTGCTCTTTCAAATCTAGCTGTGAACTGACGATGAAGAAGCAAAAGCCAATATTGGACTAGAGTGACGCTATAATTTGAATTCAAACAAACTCAATTCAATGTCGGAAAAAATGGTGGCACCTTCCCTTTCACTGCACGACCCAGCACAGTTTCAGGCCTGATTTTATCTGGGAACTGCCAAGTAAGTGAAACAGTCTCTGGCCTTAATTCATTTCAATAGAAAGAAATGTGTCATCCTGTTCACAACCAGTACACTACCACATTGATTGTGCTTATCTCAAGCTTCACCAGTATCATTATAACCCAAGAATGCTGTTACGAAAATAAATTTTCTTTCAACGTGCCATTCTCAAGGCCTTTTCATTCAAACGTTTTCAAATGTGCGAAACAAATTTGATTCACATCAATTGTTCTTCATCAAAGGACAGCTAGTAATATAATTCATGAACAATAAAAAAAAAAAAAGTAAACTGTTACATTTCTCTTCTATTGACCATTAACAGGACTAAATTTTGATTATGTTCATTCAAGAGCAAAGTTCACTTTCAAAAGTTATATCAAACCTTTACAATTCATTGTTAACATCTTAAAACAGGGGAAGAATATAGTCTTGAGCAATCCACTGTCTATTTCTATTCATCTATGTTGACCCAGTGAGACCCAGTGACCTTTTTTGGAGGCTGAAAAAAGCTAAACCACACTGTGAATTGGAAGTCAAACTGTAGAATTAGGATACTTGACACTTTCCTGCAAATTGTAGCACTGGCAAATAACAAAAATGACAAGAAAATAGATAAAAGTAACGAAAATTAACAACCAAAGAAGAAAAGCTTACTTACTTCCACATGGAACTCAGCACTTCTTCCACAATCTCCTCATTGCTCATGTTCTCCGCACTGATGTCCATAAGGGCAGCCATTCTCTCTTTCAGACCCTGGACTTCATTCAGAGCAGCCCTTGCATCACCTATACGGTACGTCCATGCATGATCTATCAAGTAAATGCTGTCGACAAAATAATAAAAATAATATAACTTAATATTAATAGCAAAAATAATAATAATAAAAATAACAATAACAGTAATATATTAACCTAAAAAATAATAACAGATTGCATTCTTACAGAAAATATCCCGGCTACAAAGTAGGCTCTATGCCCATTTCAGTTTAGGAATACCTCAACAATTTCTACAACATTTCCAAAACATTCTCAACTTCCTGAAAAACATTCAGAGAAACCTGCCATTTTACTGGCACTCAAAATATATAGGTGGAAAAAACATGACTGCACTGGATATGTTAAGCAAAGACATCAAATGTGAAATGTCTGAAGTATCCTGCAATATGACATAATATGACAGACTAACTTAAAAAAAATAATTGTACTTTTGAATTTGCAAAACACTGATTGAGATTGTCAGATATATCCCCACCTTGAGACTGTTTTGAGGTACCTGAGTTGAGCAGCAAGGCTTTGGACTTGAAATAAAAATTGTAAGCTTCTTCAGATAGGATCATAAGTTGTATTTAAAGGAAAGGTAGCTTACTTTATTTTCCTCTGTTCATCCAACTACAAATTATGGGTACAGGATGCTGTTTTATGATATTGTCCCTGCAGGTGTATTATGTGACATTGATGTAGCTCTGAATGAACTGGACATGCGATTGTAACCAAATTTCTCCATTTAGAGTATAAAAGTCGTACTTTTGTCTTTTCTTCAACCTGAAATTTTTCTTCACCCATCAGCATTGATATCACAAAAGTGTACACTATTTTTTTAAAAAGCTTTAATGGACTGAAACTCTATGCACTTCTCTTGAAAGGGAGAGAGGCAATGATGAAATTCGCATACTGATTAGGATCCTTGATGTCAATCCCCTCCTCAGCCGTCGCTACAACTCTCCATGAGAAGGTGGAGTCTCCGTCCTCTGATTCACACACAATCTGCTGCATTTGGAAGCAAGAACCAGCATCATATACCTGAAAACATATTGTACAAACATCAAAGAAGATCAATCATGACCCAATAATATCTTACAACCAGGGTCCCCACCAAATCCTGGAAAATTTTTTCAAGACCCCCAAATTTTTTTCAAGACCCCAATTCGAGGGAAAAATCAGGCCGCTGCGCATCATGAATGATCCCACAAAAAGCCAATCTATCAATGATAAAAAGTCAAAATGTCTATAAATGAATGCAAATGTACATT